AACTTTAGGGGGTCTCCACGCCCTTTCCGAATGAACCGAATCTCCAAGTTGGCTTATGATCTCCCCGATGCTCTCCTTCAGCTTCTCGTCGGGCACGACTTCACTGAACCTGTAGGCGGGTCCTCCCACTCTTGACCAGTAGTTGAAGTCGCTACCCTTTATCTTGAAGCTGTCGCAGCCGACCTCGCCATAGCCTGAGAAATCTTCCAAATAAACATCCAGGTCAGGTGTCAACACTCCCCAGACCATCTCATGAGAACGCCACAAAAGTATCCTTTCGTGATACATTCCATCATCATTGAAGTATGCAGCCACTCTCTGTCCGGGGATACATTTTGACAACGCCGCGGCCCTTTCTCCTAGGGCTTGCACCCGCCTCATGATGTAGGAGACTACCTGTAGTGCGTGGAGCTCTGCACAACGACCAGGCAAGAGCTGCAGTCAAACAGCCACAGAGAACTGACAGCACGAAGATTAGATGTCGGTACGAAGGCCCCTTCGAGTCTGGTAGCGAACACTCACACTGACAGACGCAGGGCTGCCGCTCGGCTATCGGCCCTAGCTTAGGCCGAAGGACAGACTCCAAGAATTGCAGTGACCATGCACAGAGGAGGGCTTCTACCTTCATGTTCCTTTTTAGCTTGAGCATATACAACAAAGAAGGCACTCCATGCGCGACTTCCAGTCTACCCGTGCAAGCACACTCAAACACATTGCCGCGGGAAACGATATGCTTGACCTGTAGAAGTAGCATTGCAGTCGCCGGCAGCTTGGAGCAAACAGGTTGTCAGCGGCTGATCTCATGATTGCAATGACGTTGTTCCCATGAATCGAATGGGCAACCCCTAATCACGCTGCTGCGATATTTAGCAAGAAGTTGAGTAGACATCTTGCTTTGCACGAATGGATTCCCAGGGGTTAGAAGTTGATGAGCAAGACTGAGTCGAAGAAAGCCTCTGGTTCATGATGCACGCAACTGGAAAATGCTTGCATTGTCCCAACCTTGTTGCTGGGTCCAGCAAAAACCTTTCACTCAAAAGGACCGCCAAAAAAATTGGCTGAGCCAGGAAAACCTAAAGCAAATTGAGTTTCCTGAGCAGGCGAGAAAAAACAAAAGCGAAGAAGTACCAAAAAAATGCATCCGCGTGCCTACAACCAGAAACAAGGACTTGAGATTAACTTTCTAGACTGCACAGCCAGCGAAGATCATAGATTACCAGCCTTCAAATTATGATGCTTCATGACAGATTTCCCCAACGCGGCTGGTAAGCACCCCATATGTATAGGAGATGCTTCCAAATGCAAGGCAGCGCACACACCTGCATCTACTGCGCGAAAAAGAAAATGACACATTTGGGGCGGCCCATGGCCACGAGATGTGCTGGCAATGGCCCATTGACATGGTTGATTGTCTTTGACGCTATGCGTACGACCGTGCGAGTTGGGCCTGGGAACGCCAAACCACAGACCAGGCATAGGTGCAACTGAGGAAGGCCCGCAAGAGCCAACATGCGACAGCCCACGTCGGAACTCCGAGGCCATGAAGCGCTTATGACGCCAAGCATCAGTAGAACAAACTGGGGCAAAGATGCCAAGCAAGTAAGAAAAGAGACCAGAGAAAGAAACGATCCAAGAGCTAGGCGTTCACTCAATCGAAGAAAACTAAATGCAAACAGGAGTTGGTCTTACAGGATCTTGTGCCCACGATGCATGAACTCGATTGGCTGCCAGCATAAAAGCTTTGAGAGCTCAGAAGGCCGAGTGCTGCCCAGTCGGAGGCCCAAGCGATTCAACCGGACACGCTGCAGCAGTTGAACTTGAACAAGTCCGTCTAGTACCTTTTCAACACAACCGCTTGGCTGTAAGGTGCTCACAAACTGCTACATCGGATTTGAGATATGTTGCCCACCAGGCTTCAGGAAAAGCGCGCTGCCGTCACCAGGATGCTCAAACCAAGCAGGATTGCGCTTGCGCAACTGGCTCACGATTTCTCAAAAACAAGGGAAGTGCCTTATCATGCGAAGCACCTACAAAGACTGCCAGAAGCACTCAGGAACCTACATCAACCGTAAGACTCGCATGATATCTTGTAGCCCAGGAGGAGGATGTGCCCAACAAATGGCAGACTCATGACCCCTGGAAAATGGTCAAGACAAAAAAGCCTGCCAGCCGAGGAGCAAACAGGCAGGTCATGGCAGTTCAGTCTGTCAGGCTGCGAAGAGCCAGCAGAACTACAACATGTTGCGAGAGCTTGCGGAGATTCATCCCTCACTTCTGAGTTCAAAAAGCTGTCCACCATATGTTTGAAAATTCGGGGGACATCTGGACCTTGACGGCTTACCCAAATAAGAAAAGGCTTTCAGTTTCACATCACTGGTTCTTCCAGTGGGCTGCCTCCAATTCCTTCTGATGTCACTTTTTTTGACTGGGGCACACCGGCGTCTGCAAGCTCGTATGAATGCGCCACTTTGCAAAGAACTGCCCTGCCACCTCCATCAGTAAGTCGTGGAGCAGCCCCGAAGTGATACCCGACGGGGCAGATCAGTGAGAGCGCTTGGCGTTTCGACTTGGTGAATTGCATGTGGTCGGCCAGCCTGGAGGAGGTGCAGGGCCTGGTGCCACAGCTGCCCGTGACCTTTCATGGCAGATCAAACAAGTAGCTTCCAGGCTGATGCTTCGGGACCCGTCCAGCTGCGGCCATCGCAACATTGTAGCCTTGCAGAATGCAAGAGGCAAAACAAAGCAAACATCCCAAGATCAGTATTGCACCACAAGTGGCTAACCAGATCCGGCAACACCTGATGCAGCACTGCAGGTGCACAGCCGAAAAACGTGATCGTTCAACCCTAGCCGCAATCGTGCCATCCTCATCACCAACCAGTGTTGCTGGAGGTAAAAGACGAAGGAGCAGTAGCCACCAACAATCGCACTTGAAACAAAACCACTTTGAAGATACGCTTCTTCCGGCTAGCTGTCAAAGAAACCATTTACTTCGAGCAGCCCACCCTAAGGTCGGGTTGCGCGGTTTTCGGGCTTGGAAGTGGAGGCTTTTGCTTCTCGTCTCTTTGTCACAGTTAAGATAGCGTCACCGGCAGCTCTAAAACATCTCGGAACCCATAGCCAAAATGCATGTCAAACTCTAGCCACAGAATTTTGAAGCAGTCTTCCTATGGGAAATATTATGCTGATATCGCGCAAGCACAATACTGAGCATTTATTGGCCGCTCCACCCATTAAAAAACGCCTGAGTGTTTTTCCAGCATTTGCTTATTGAGTGCAGGGTTTGAAACCCCTCTCCCTCTCCAACGTTTGTGGTGATTCCATCTACGAAAATGTTCGACATGTGTCTCATGCCCATGCCGCTCATTGCAGGAATATGCGCCAAAATTCAACGTTTGAAGCCATCTCCCAATGGAACGATTGTCCTTGGCATTGTGACATTGTCTACGCACGCGTTCAGCATCTGATTTTTGCCTGCCCCTCCTGCCCGGGTTGTGCTCATCATGAATTTCCTCCTAGAATGATCTGTGAGACCAAGGCTTTGCAAACCCTCTCTCTTTGGAACATCTCGTACCAGTATTCTCGAGACAAATATTCAGCGTTGCGATAACTACATCCCTCATACATTTTTGGGTAACCTTTCCTTGCACTGTTAAACCCCTCTCTATGACAAATGCTCAGACATTTGTCCGCGTACCGGCTACCAAGCAAAACTTGACCGGCACTGGTCATCTGCAACGTCCCTGCCTGTATGAACTTTCTGCATGAACTGTCGAGGGTTGCGCGTTTCGGAGACACTTGAATGTTAGGCGCTGCAGGGACAGTCCACTGCGGGGACACTGGGCACTGTGCGGACGGGTTGGTTGGTCACTGTGGGCACACTCGGGTGTTGCGCACAACAAGGACATCCGGGGTTGAGCACTGCAGGGCAGCCGAGGAGAACCTGGACTTCTAAATCTAACATACCCAGCGGGATGATGAGCAGTCTATTTTACGTTTGCGTACGGAGCGCCGATGCGAATGGCTTTCTATCTGCTTAGTAACGATCTCTGGAAGTACTTGCAGCACCGGCATTGCAGTTGCGGTGTGTTGCATCATCGAGAGAGCGTGAGTTTGGGTCCCGAAACGAAAAACAGACAGTCAGATCCGCCAGGCAGACTGTCAGACAGTCAGACGCAACAGGCAGACAATCAGACAGTCAGACGCGAAAGGCAGACAATCACACAGTCAGACGCGAAAGGCAGACAATCAGACAGTCAGACGCGAAAGGCACACAGTCAGACAGTCAGAAGCACAAGACAGACAGTCAGACAGTCAGACGCGCAAGGCAGACAGTCGGACAGGAAAGGCAGACAGTCAGACAGCGTCTCGGTAGCAGGATTTTTGTAAGTCCCTGAGAAGGGTCCCGGAGGGACCTACAAAAATATTTCTGGGTTTCAAGGCTTTTGTATGACTGCCGGCTATCCGGGTATTGATTGTCTGACAGTCTGATTGTCTGATTGTCTGACCGTTTGTGCGTGTCGGGCGATTGTTGACTGTCTGAGTGTCTGACTGTCTGCTACGCGGTTCAGGCGCCATGCCGGGACCTCAATCCATATTCTTCCTTCGGTGTCGCCTTCAATGGCCATCACAGGTTTTGTGTGTCTTCGTCGGAAAAAGCAGGAAAATTCAGAACTGAAGCTTGAAGAGAGGCGCTGAGCGGGCGAACCGCAACAGAGTAGGCATTGCTCATGAAGAGGAACCGCCACCGCCATCGTCGCCGTATGTCGCCGTCACCCACCACCATCGCCGACACAGCCGCCGCCGCCGCCACCACCATCATCACCACCACCACCACCAGAATCACCACCCCATGCGATGTCCAGCGTGGCATCTCAAAATGTTGGAGTTGTTCAATCCTTTTGCATGCGTGTACAATCACGCGAGGCTTCTTTCAAACGACAAACCGAGAATCAATACAAACTCGCCACTTGCAGAAACCATGCTTCAGGCATCCGTAGTGAAGGCTGGAAAATTGCAGGCATGGGCGTGCTTCATGGCACCAGCAGCATCTGAGGCCATTCTTGAAAGGCTGAGACATGTCCCTAGAATCTTGCGACAAGCTTGGTGGCGTCCGGCTTTCAAACATCTTGAATTCAACCAAGTCAAATATTGCTAGGGATTGTATGACACATGGAGCTTGTTTGCAAACATGAACTCTGCTGCTTTCCTTCCTTTCCAATCGCCAGACAAATAATGTTCAAGAGAAGGTGTGATACCTGCAGCTGTGTTCCCACTTTGATCACCTTGATGAATCGTTGAAGTAGAATTCAATCACCATTTGTGTGCCCCGGTGTCATGCTGTACAAGGCTGCGTAGA